GTACCCTGGCTAATGAAACCAGGTATTACATACACTATTTAAGTAAAAAGCAGAGCATCCTGCTCCAACAGGGAGAACGCTCCCCAGCTTTCATTCCAGTTTCAACTTCTTTTCCTTTATGTATTTTTATACCAGTTTGGAAAACCCAAGTATGCCAAAGATCTTGTAAAGCACCTTTTTTGTGTGAGCTATCACCAGTGCCAGAGGGAAACCTCAGGACAGAAAGAAACCCCCCAGCTGCTGGGTGAGCTTCCCATGAAAACCATTTCACCCAAATAAAATGGGGCTTCTCTACGGTTCCTCTGATGTACCACAGACAGTCCCGTTTCTTGAATTTGTGGTACTCTCAAGAAACAAGATGCACAACCCCCAGAGCACCTGGGACAACAGCACGTGTTGTGGTGATGCTGGAGGGCACAGACAAAAGGGGGCTGGAGAACTACACACACGGTGGAGCCTCTGTGGTGAAACCAGGAGCCATGGCCACAGAGCTGATCTCGGGGAGGAGCAGGGCTCTCCACTGAGTGAAGCAGCCAGGGACATTCTGAACTGCCACGGACCGGGCAAAAACAGACTAAAGAGAACACAAGAAACTGGAAGCAAAGTTGAAGGACTCTGGGTGGAACTGGAAGCCGGTCCAGGAGATACCATAGAGAGCTGGTGCTGGTGCTGCAGGCAAACGCTGGCCAGGACAGGGACTTTTTCAAGGAAAACAAGGAGCCCAGAAGAGAAACCTGTCAAGGAGGTGAGGAATTAATGTACAAACTGGCCTTGCAATTGTGAATTTGCACAGAGCTGGCACTGGACAAAATTGGGCTGTTCTCTTTCCCACCTGGAAGAGTCTTGACCTCATATACCAATAAACTCTCAAGAAAATGAATAGGGTTTTATTCAGCAAGAGGAAGACCACAATGTCAGTGACTCACAGCACAGGGACTTGGCATCTCTAGGAAGATCTAAGAGAGGAAAAGACCTAATGAACAAGAGGACTGTCTTTTACTAAGATTTGGAAAAACACAATACAACATTTTCCAGGGGCAAAAATGAGAAAAATTTGAATACAAATCCTCTGAGTTGGATTCCTCCTTCCTTTATCCTTTCCCCATCTTCCTCATGGCTCTAGGAAGAGCTGTCTACAGCAGGAAGGGTAAAGGATGCAAAAGCATCACACCAAAGACTACAACTGTCTGCCTCCGAAACCAGCAACCGCTGCAGCCTGTTCCAGAACAGGCTTGTAATGTCTTTTTGTGATTTAAATTCATAGAGGCACAGAATGACCAAGGCTGAAGGAGAGGGAGAAGCAGGACTGGGGACAGGAGCTCATCATCTCAGCCTCTCCCCAGCGATGCTCTGCCAGCCAAAGCTTTGCTGCAGTGGTTTCACACCAGCGACACGCCGAGGCTCATTTTCCTCCTTCAGGCTCATTTTTCTCCTCTGCCGCCAACGCTGGAGCCCAGATGAGAGCTTTGAGTCCCCCCGGGGCCTGGCAGCCCTGCCACAAGCAGCCAGACCCTCACTGCAGGTGCCAGGGATGCTGCCAGGATGATGGCTGATGAAGCCAAATTGCGTAAAACAGAAAAAATGAAAGAAAATGGTGCCCACCGCCTGAGATCTCTAGTTATTTGGGGGTATTTCAGCACTCGGGGATGATTTTGCTGCAGAGGTAAGGAACAAAGGCAGGAGGAGCAGCAAAAGGGCTGTGCTTGGGGAGCGCCCGGGGCAGCGGGAGCTGGTGTGTTCTGCAGTGCTGGGGCCACACACACCCAGCGGGGAGAAGTGAGGGGCTACACTGAACCCCACTTCAGGGACCCTTGTGCAAAGGCACGACAAGCTTGGAAAAGCCGGAGGAAGGCACTGGAGACAGGATTTGAGGGTACACTCTGGCAGCTGCACCTGCGTGGGCTGAGGTGAGCAGGATGAGTGCCCAGAGGCACCACGGCACAGCAGGAGCTGAGATCAGCCAGAGGAGGCTCCAGCACCAAGAAAAGAGCAATGTTTCCCCAGCTCTTCCCAACCTCACCGCAGCACCCCTGTACAACACAGAGGGCTTGACTCTGCCCAGGGCAGAAGGGGCTGTCAAACCACAAGGGGTGCAGCCTGGTATCGGTAGCTGCAAACAGGACCTGGTCCTTCCAGAAGCAGGGCAGGAAGACACCTGACTGCATGGGACACTTGCAGCAGGGGGAGTCTGGGTGTCAGTGAGGGATGGAGAAGCAGCTGTGGGAGGCCCCCGTACCAACTTTCTCTGCATCTAATTAGCAGCTTCTGTAGCCATCCCTGTGTTTCACTCATTAATACAGAAGAGCCAACAACTTTTGGCCTGTGTCCACCATAAAGCTATTTCCTACTGCTGAATGTCCTTCCAAGGATGATGTCCCTGCTGCACTGATGTTGCTCTTGGGGAGGCACAGGAGAGGGAGACAGCAAATATTCCACCAAATAACCAGAGACACTAGCTTCGCAATCCAGCTGGTTGCAGGGCAGTGTCCCTGATGCCCTGCACACAGTATGGTGTAACGCCACAGACCTGCAAGTAGATGTCATTAAGATCATAGCCAAGACCTCAAATCACTAGACTGGCACGTTTTCTTCTCAATCCACCATCCTTCTAAACCTTCTTAATCTTCTCTTACAGAAGGGCATTATGCTGAAGGAGAAGAAAACAAGTTAAGATCCTCCCTGTAGAGCAAGAGAGACCACAGAAAGCAGCTGGTTTCCCTGAATGCAGGTGGGGAGCTGGCACTCCAGAAGCTAGGACACCACACAGGCTTGAAGGAGACAGAAAGAGCAGGAGGTGGACAGCCCCAAACATGGGTAGCCCATAGGGCAGCTTTAGATAGAGCGGGAGCAGGGAGATTAATGCACAATCTCGATTGGCTCAAAAGCAACAGTAATCTGAGAAAGAAAAGGCTGAGTAGTTCAGGATGAACTAGTCACTGGTCCAAGCTCAGCGCTGTCCTGAAACCTCATCTCAAATAACTGAACCATCCATAGCTGCTGCTGCCTTGGAGACCCCACTGTTTCACTCCCAGGTCTTCCTTTGTTCAGTTTCATGGTGTACGCCCACTGGAAGTAGCCCCTTGCTACTAACATTTTAGAAATTATGTGGTTGTCCAGATCCTTCAAGCTTCCTTCTCCTGCAGGCCTAGCCAGGCCCACCCAAGGGGAGTGGGTTCAGAGAAAAGAAGGTGGCACCATCCCAGCCTACAACTTTGACGTTTCAAACCCACCGGGTTTTATTGGTTTAAAAGTAAGGCCCCGAGCCCCGTTTTCCCCTGGGGCTCAGACCACCTCTCTTCCCTTGGGAAAGCCCACTCAACATGCTGTACAACGTCATCTCCAACTGTGTGCTTCAAGAGCACAGCATCAGTGCCTTCTGCCTCCTAGACAGGAGCTCGACCTGCATCACAGACCCTCAACGCTTATGAGATTATCCTACCATGCTGAACACTCCCTGTGGAAACACAGTCAAGGGAATTGCCTTGTTACAAATGCAACAAGGGAATTTCTGTGCCAGCAGACGTGTCTCCTCCTCCATGACCTCATCTCGTCCAACAAAATGCTCTTCTCGGCACAGCCATACCCACTGCTGAGCTTCAGAAAACAAAGCCACTCAGCTATAAGTGTGCCTTTTTCTTACCCATTGTTGTCATGATTATTGTAGCAAAACTATAGTTACCCGGGTCACACACCCCGGGTTTGAGAAGCTGGGGTGCGCAGGCATCATTTCACTACATCAGCAGTTTTCAACCTGTCATCTGCAAACTCCATCTACAAGTTCCACCCAAGGCAACTACGAGAATCAAGCCTTTAGCTACAGGCAGCCTCTACTGGAGACTTCTAGGGATTCAAGAACAGGTTCAGACACCACTGCATGGTGATCCAAAACACCCAGAGACCTGGCCAGTGACCCTGCTGCTGTGAAGAAGTCAATAGTTACTGGAGAAAAATCAAAGGATGATGGTTACTCCAGCAACCTGACACATTAGAGACAAGTATGAATTATATTTACAGCAGCTAGAGGTGGGGCTGAGACGTCTGCCTGGCATGTGAGACCAGCAGGAGTGAATGCTTCCAGACCAGATGAGGGAATGTTCCAAAGAAGACAGAGAGAGCTGGAAACAAGAGCAACACACACTCCTACATGGCTCACTTCTACTCTTTCATGAGAGCCATGGGAGCAACTTACAGTTGATACCATCAATGGAGTTCAGAGACTGATGCCATCAGTTACCAGCCACAGCAAGCAGAGGAAAGGCCGAGAGAGAGAGTGGCTGCTGCCCATCTCACCCAGCTCCACGGACAAGCAGCTCCTCACAGACGCTCCGCGAGCAGCACTGCTGCAGCAATACAAAGATTGCTTCACGTTGCCCAGCAGGGAAAGGAGGTTGCATATTGTTTCTGGTTTTAAGGTGATTTTTTGGGTAGCATAAGATAGAAAATGGACAGTCCAGAAAACCGCTACACTCTCCATCTCCAGAGCAGGTCCGGCACAGTAAGCACAAAGCAAAGACATTCTGTCCTACAATGAGCAAGATCAAAGCACTCCCTAGATGTCCATTCCCACGTCTCCTAGTGAGGCTGCACCATGTCACACACCTACATAAAGAGCATATTTTAAGTCACTACCTTATTTCACAGAAGACACCAAGGAGCTATTAGATGTCACCTCATGCCTACCACCAACCTAGGCTGTATCTGAACCAGTGACCCAGAGGTGAGAGGCCCGTGCCCCATTATCAGTCTCCAGAGAAATGCGATCCCGTCAAAACAGTAGGTGCCTGACAGGCATGTTCAAAGGGCACAAGCAATTATGAGAGCTTCACAAATCACTTCACAACATGCCCATTATACAACGCATTTTCAGCAAATAGCAGCCTTTACACTGGAAATAAACAGAAAAGAACAGTAGATGGGTGCTAGATGGAAGAATATTAATTCTCCATCACATTTCATTCCTAATGGACTGAAGTACAAATGTAAGTATGGGCATCACCTACTTTAACTGCCATAATTTGCCCACTTGGTTTGTGGACCATTTTGTTGACAGAACCATAAGCGCCTCGTCCAATTTCTCCAAGGTCTTTCAAGTCCTCTGCTGTAAAATCCCAATGTTGTTCAGGGGAAATCTTCAATTTTCCTGATGATTCAATGCTGTGTGTTCTCAGTCTCTCTCTGTCAAAAATATTGGGAAGCAATTTTTCCACATTTTAAATAGTCTGTAAATTTCTCTTTTCAGCACTTGATTAAACATTAGAAGAGAGGGGTTCACAAAGGCTATAGCAACAGTCTAACTCCACGAAGGATTTTGGTTGGGGAGGGGGGTGCAGGGTGAGGGACAATGTTAAATCAAAAATGACATACACTTGCCCACAGCTTCAATTAAAGGTAAGTTTCTCCAGCTGGGGCATAAAATTCAATGTGTCTCATACAGTAGAGTCATTCTAATCACTTATTTACACAGTTCTTTCTATTTTGCATAAAATACATCAGGCTTCAAGCAGGATCCGGTAACATGCAGAACCAAAGAGTCCAAAGTCCTCGCCCCAGCCCCATCTCCCCAAAGCTTCTGCTGCTCTACACCACCACGGGCCCAGCAACTTGCTCCCTGCAGCTGGGTTTCCATGCAACACGGGCAAGATCTTCTGTGGGAATCAAGGGGACCTTAGAAAGAGTTTGCTCTTAATGGAAAACTGCAATTAATTTAAAAAACAAAAAACATTTTAGGTAATAATTTCATTTATTCAAAAACAAATAAAGGGCCAATAATTTGTATTTAGAAAAACCAAGACAAGTTGTTTATGACACCAGAAAACACAAACTGACTGTCCAAGTGTCTCTTTACCAAGCACTTTAATTAATGTCCTCAGGCAAACACTGCTGGTGCTGAAGCCACCAGGGTTTGCGCGGGTAAGGAGCAGACCCAGAACAGTTCAACTGCTGTTTTCAGGTGCCCACAATTACTCATTCAAATGCAGCAATGCTATCACTGAATTAGTAGGAAATGCAAAAGTATTTTCAACACTTTTCTTCTTAAAATGCTGTGCAAATTTTCAGCTTTTCATCAATTAATTAGCTGATTGATTCACATTTCTTGGGTTGTAAAGCAAGTCAAAAGCCTGAGTTTCCCACTTTCAAGTAGCATTAGCAGCATTAAGGACAGTTCCCACAGCGGGGCACACCCACCTCACACAGATATTAAAGCCCATGGGTACTTGTGAGCACCTTGTGTCCGAGGGAGATTCTGTCAAACTCATCCCTTGGACTCTGATCACTTCTCTTGAGCACCTGATCTAGGTCCCCACAAAGGAACAGAGCACACACCAAGTATCCAACCAAATCGTTAATGCTCATGGAGTTTATCAGCCAGAGGAACACAGAGGTTACGGCTGATTCCTCACTGATAAACCCAACCATTTGTCACCAGCAGCTGCAGACACCACCCCGTCGGGTGCAAAGGTAGACCCAACCATGACCTCCACCAGGCTTTATTTGGAACCCAGGTTTTACGAGGGCAATGAGGTCAGGTCCAAAGGTCAATTGACTGGAGCAGCTCTGGTTCAGATGGCTCCATCTGCTGCCCTTCAGCTTCTCTGCAATGCTTTGGTTTAGCATCTTCTGGGCTTTGAGCAGCTGCATGTGCTGAACCCTTGACCTGTTGGACAAAGAGCCTGGCTGAACACCTCCTCTCCTCACATCTGTGCCCCTGCCTGCCCTGGGCTTCCTTGCTCTCCAACCTCCCTACCTTGAAGCTTTTCATCTGCCACTCCCTGCAGTGCCCCTCCGCTGCCCTTAGAAAGAATTTGGGAAACCTACTGAGAGTGCTCCAATATGGCACAGACATGATGGACACCGCAGCCCACAGAGGCAGAGGTGGCACCCCTTCGTTAGCACTATTTACATATCTTCTAATAAAACACTGCATTGAGTGAAGTTCTCCATGGGATTTGCTTACTAAAAGCAAGGAATGAAAATATGATGACCAAAAAAAAAAAGAGAAGAAAAAAAAGAAAAGAAACGTGACCTCCAGAGTCGGCAGATGTTGTCGCAGGCAGCTTACGCTGGGAGCTGCACGAATCACTGTCTCACTGCTCAACCATCCGATTTTGTCAGCCCCACAAAAACAGTTCTTTTGATGGAAGAAAGTGGGTAACAAGTGTCATGCTGAGGAGGCACCAGCAAATAGGCATTTCCTGCCTTCCCCTTGCCAGCTGCAGGCAGGAAGAAGCATGACCATTGAGAGCTATATCTTCTTCAAAAAGGCAGGAAGAAAAAGGAAGAGAGGTGCTACCAGGAGGGTGAGATGTGAGATCTGACTGTCAGCAAACCCTTTCCACCTTATTTAAAAATAAATAAATAAATAAATCAGATCGAAGTTCTCATAAGAATCAAAAAATTTAAATGTTGACGTGGTTTATTCAAATAAAGCGATTAAACCCATCTCCACTCTTCTCTTTTTCTGCCCAGGAAACTTTGCGTTTCTTACCCTATATCAGAAGAGAAGGCAAATTTGAATTCATTATTTCCTTGTTACACAAGAAGCCTGTCTCTCCCCAGCTGTAGCATGAAAGCAGATCTGTGCCATTGTCCCCGCAGCTGCGGGACGGGCGGCCGCAGCAGACGGGAAGAAGATGGGAGGCAGGAAATTCCCCCTGCGCGGGGCTGCAAGGAGCACCCCGGGGTTGGGATCGGGATGCACCATCCCCATCCACAACACCTCACCTCTTGGAGTGTAGCTTATTTGCCATTATGCATTTATTGTGCCACCTGCCTTGTGTTGCAATCCAGTTCCTGCTTATCTTTTTTCAAATATCCAGGGAAATGGTCAAATAACCAAATGACAAATTTGACAGAGTGACAGACACTTTAATATAGATTTTGCTGTTTAGCTAATTTGTCACATGGAAACAATGCAGTTTTCCTTTAAGCAGCATGGCCTTTCTTAAGAGTGGGTAACTGAAACACAATGGTTACTTTTAGCATCAAAAAACTACACTTTATTTCAGGAATTTTTCAGTGTAAATCAAAATCCCAAGAGATTCCCAGGCCATGAAAGCAGCTCAAAAAATGCAAATATAGAACATAGACTCTCTGCATTGATATCGAATAGGAATTTTCTGATGCAAAACTGAGTGAGGCAGTAAGAACAAGTAAATAATCAATGCAATACATCTATTACTAGATTTGCACTGCTGCAGATACACGAGGACATAAATCCACAGAGTAGACATGCCCCCGAAATACCAAAAACCCTGCCCTGCCTCCTAGTGCACTGGATACTACAACAGCTCGGTTCAGCCAACAGAAGGGTAACCACACAGAACAGTGTCTAATGAAGGTAAAAAGCAATTAATGCCCCGTCCCTGCTTCTGCAACCTATCGGGTTTTGGTCCCTGTGTTTAGTGCTCGTTAGCGTTTGCACAGATGTGGTCAGACACATGCCTCCTCTTGCCATTTCGGTTTTAAACTGTGCAATCCAAATCTCTCTAAGGCCAGGAATGTTCGGCAAAAATGGCCGTATCCTCTCCAAATAATCAGGATGTCTACAATGGACTTTTGGGGCGTAAGGTAAGATTTAAAAAATAAAATGAATAGCTAACGAGGGCGAGATACTCCTCAAACAGTTAAAAGCAGGATTTTCAAATGCGCCTATGGACTATACTCCTGTTGACTTGTCCAGGACTACTTGAGCTTCCAACTCCTCATCTTGCTTTTGAAAAGTTTTAAAAGCCAAAAAAAAAAAAGAAAAAAGAAAAGGCTCAGGAGGCGGTTGCGATCGCTGCACTTGAAAGGCCCCAATGTATTGCTCTTACTGCAGATGGTTACTGCGCTCGTCACAGCAGTTATCCCAGGGATTAGGAGCACCAAGCAGGACAACAACTCCTCCAAACAGTTGCCCTTTGTCAGAAATGAAACCGTTTGCGGGTCCAGCTTGGCAGGAGGCAGGCAGCCGGCTGGCGCCAGGCACGGTGGCCGGGCCAAGGACAGGGTCAGACTCTGGGGACACAGGGTGGTCACTGCGAGCCCGGGGAGGCAGAGCCACCACAGAACCCCCCGGGAAGAACCACAGGCACTGGGAAGCTCCAGGATGGGCTGTGTTAGTTCCCCGAGCTCTGCTGTGAGCACTCAACTGCAGGGATGCAAAAACCTTCAAAACAAGCATTTCCTTGGCATGAAAAAGAAGGGCTGTGGGGAGAAGCAGAGAAAATTTGGTGGATTTTTGAAGCAAAATTGAAAGTTATCAGACATAAAGCAAGGCCAGAAAGATGCTTTAGGTAGCTACCTATCTCCTCTTCACTTTGTTAAGAGTTCTGCAGGACAAAAAGAAGCCCAAAAGTTGAGGTATTTGACATTATGGTTGGCATAAATAAAACAAATCTGCAGAGCCAAAAAGATCCAAGCAAACCAGCTGTGCTTCCCAAGCCTGCCCAGTGCTGGATTCTGCCAGGAAGTCTCTCACTGAGGCTCCTCTCTCCACTACAGTTAATGAGAATATAATCTACTTCTCCACAAGTTTGGTAAAAGCTGCTCAACACAACAGGACTTCAGATCTTTCAGATCCTCATTCCAGTCAAAGGAATGCTAAAACGTAAATCCTCAGAGAGAAGCTTCCATGCAAAATGTGGGGTTCAGTAACACTCTGCACTGTCCGTAATTGCGGGGTGAAAACACGGCTCCTGACTCTGGTAACAGCCTCCCCCCCGGCTTTCACACACCCCACAGAGGTTGCAAAGCTTCTGTCTCAACGTCTGTGGTACTTATAAAACCGTTTTCAGACCCTGCAGGCTAATGTCAATAAAAAAACAACCCTAGTTTAAATTTCACTAGAGAAAGTCTCCAAAAGAAGAAAACGTTGGAGCTCTCACAATCTACCAGATTTTCTTGAGAAGAAATTTCTGCTTCTAATAAGCTGATGAGCAACAGTGTTATTTCAAGAGGAGCAGAACTACATGGGTTTTGCTCTGACCCACATAAGCTGTCCTGAGGCTTAGTTATATTTGATAACAGATTCCTTGGCATGAAGAGGAGATACAGAAAACAGGTCAAAGGAAGGAAATGGTTTAGTTTTGTACGTCTTAGCTGCTCAGACTAAAAGCAAAAGCACACCTGCTCCCTTACACCATGACCAAGCAGCAAAAGTTATCCCCAGCATTGCTCGGGCTTCCTATATTCCT